TCAACAATTCAATTAATTTGAAATGGAGGGAGTATAATATTTAAAGTGGGAAGCTTTGAGTATAAAGTTGAATTACTTTTTTACCCTTTAATCTAAAACTATTTCTATAATATTTTATGTACTAAAAAGTAAATTTTTATTGCAATAAATATTATTACCATTAAATATTTTATAATGAATTGTTTAGATGAGAAACAAAATTTGTTATAGTTTTTTTCAATTTCTGGAATACTTATCATGAATTTACAATATATTATGCTAAGTCAAAGAATTGCAAAAGCTATCATTTAAATAACTTAATCATAGTATTAAATGTGCTCAAGTGTTTCCATTCAAATGTCCAAAGATGATTGAAATGCTGCATCACTAAATGAGAATGGAGGAATGAAATGTCATTTAATGGTTTGCATCAATCGGTTAGGCTTTGATTTTATGTATTATCGATTCGATTTTTGATTTTTAAATACGCTAAACCAATAAATAAATAAATAAGATATTTTTTTATCGATTTTCGGTTTATCGATTTTGGTCCTTAACAGTTCAATTTTCGGTTTAACCAATAAGAAAATGCTTATCAAAAAAATATATGACTTCTCTAATAAATTTGACGCGACAAAACAATAATGTAACTTTACAAATCCTCATAAAATAGAAACAATAATAACAAACAGGAAAAGAACTATACATGTGTAACACAAAGAGAAATTTAGAGGAATAGGGTTTTTACTTTAGATTTTGACGATTTGTATAATGTCAAGTTGTGAACTCAAAGTCACAGTGAAGTATAAATTGAATGCTAAATGAAAAAGACATAACTAGTAAGATATAGAGATTAATATTTAATATCTGTGCATAGGTAAAAGTAGTAAAACACAATAGTTTTAATGGGTTATCAATTGACCCAATAACCCAATATTACAAATCAATACCGAATCGACACCCCAATAATTCTTTTTTATGAAACCATTTAAAAATCGTTAACCCAATAAATAAATAATATTTTTTTCGGTTCGATTTATTAGTCGGTTCAGTTTTTACACCCCCTTACATTTAAGTCTACACCAAAAAAATTCATATGCTTTAAACTTTATTTTCATCTAGCTTAAATTTTTTCATTCTGTTTTGTTATTAATTTTCTTTTATTTATCTGATACTTTAAAAATCTTAAAATATGATGTAATACTCTTTAAGATCAAGAAATATATTTATAATTTTTCTACTATATTTTCTTTATTTGTCCATTAGTTTTTATTTCAAGTAGCTCAAAAGTCTGTTTTTAACAACAAATGAGATATTTATTTGATTGAAATATCATGTGCAACCTCTATTAATTACGATATCACTAGTACAATATGTATTAGCAATTAAAGAGTATTTATTTGGACAAATTACTTAACTACACTCATTTACTTATCTTAATATCCATTTATCCCTACTTATTTATTTTCTATAAAGTTCAATTGTGAGTGTGAGATATATATATATCTAGTCCCGTGCTAAAGCACGGGCCCAACATAGTTGATTTAGTGTCGCCTTTTTCACCGCAACAATACAACCTTATCAATTTAACTATATGGGTAGAACATGACATCGTCATATACATGTACAAAAACATAAGTTCATATACCTTTAAATAATATTGATCATTTTGTTTCAAAGAGGCTACGTATGACAAATACATGATTGGGTAAGTGATGATACCACAAATACATGATTGGGTAAGTGATGATAAGTGCATACGACCACTCCATGGGTATAAACATTATAGACAGAAACCAGTAAATGTCTTGTAGGTGATATCTTGCTATCTTGTTCACATTCTCGAGTCCTATATCATCAATAAACTCACTTCATAAATAATCACTATTAGTGAATTTGAAAGAACACATACATGTTTCTCAGCAAAAGAAGATGACATACAAGTATCACTAAAATTATCCTTACAACGCTCATTTAACTCTAAGAGGTGCAAATATCAATTAAAAACTAATTCTTACAGCACCTCTTATTATAATTATAACTGATGGCATGAATGTTGGTATAAATAAGATTTCAGAGAAACACATAATTATTGAAATACATTTTTTTTATATAGCTAAAGCTTATTCAAGAAATGGTCCCCCAAAATCTGAGGGATGGCATTCAAATTTGATACATGTGTGAGAGTTAACACATGGATGACACAAGCATACTTGTTCAGTTTCTCCAAGTGTGCCTGAATATATTTGGTATTCATCAGCTTCCTATTTGTAGCAGTACTTCATAATTGCCTCTAGAGAAGAGCAGTGTTACGTTGAAGTCAATTTTCGTGTTGACATTGAAAGAATAGTTGTCAAAAAAGGCACTACACGTGTCTATTGTTATAGTTCACGCGTTAGAAGATGAAAGCTTAAAATAAGGTGAGTGTCAGAAATTACAAATTTGAATTTTATTCCTATCGCCACTGCGACACCACTTTAATCAGTATCATCCAAGAATTAGTGTCACACCACTTCAATGATATCATCTAAGAACAACATGATATAACTAAACTCCATTGCACCTATGTATCTTCAAGGATGTATGCACAAATCACAATAAAATCACTTGCATGCATATAGGATAATCAGAAATCCACAATAAACAACTCCAAAGAATAGACAAATTAATTAAAACCCAAAATAGAAACTAACATATACCTTGCAGATGGAGAACTAAGTGAGTATAGTAAACAGTGCAAGATTCCTAAAAACTCTCATCAAAACAAAGAGCTCCTCCTCTGACAAACCAAGCACAACATCAAGAGTTCAAGCAAGGAATTGCACTGTGGTGCTTAGAAGGTAAAAAAAAATCAAGTCCATTGGCTTGTTCCTTCTTGCATAGCTAAAAATATTGATATATGATATCGTTCACTTACCACCAAAGGTTGCAGCAGTTCAACTCTTTATACATATTGCAATCAAATCAGATCATGAGTCTGAAATGTTGGGTTGATTTTACTGTACTTTGGTGGACACAGTTGATTACTTTAGTGTTATAAAATAATAATTTTGTGACATTATTGTGATATAAGCTCTTGAAATTGAAATAAGTTCGGCAGCGCCTGCAAAATCTTGATGATCTTCTCTATCTAATGAATATTTTCTGGTACATCAGTTGATGATAAGACTATCCTGCTACAGCCCAAAAATAGAGAATGGCAACAGGAAACTTCAAATAAGTTAAGTGATGCATATAATCAAACAACTTGGATGCACAATCCACTTCAAATTTAAGTGATCTTGGATGTTTTAGATTTTTGTAAGACGTCTAACTTCGCACAAATTAATTGATTATCGGGACAACATTCGTCAAAGAAACACAATGCATGTGCAAATCAGGTAGTTAGTTAAACATGCATATAGAAATTAATTTTAGCTAGAAATTGTATCCAAAAGAATAAGAAACTAAGATACACATACCGAAATTGTGATTCCTATATTCATCAATGTTAGGCTGAAACTGAAAGAAATGAAGAGAACAATAACTTGGGAACTGGAAAAACAAAATTCAGAGCAAACCTTTGAAATCCAAAAATCTCTAAATAAATTTAACTAAAAACATACCAAAATTAATGAGTACAGACACTTGAAATTGAAATAGAATTGAATAGGAGAAAGAGAATTCATAGACCATTGAAACCTAAAGCTTGAAAGCAGTGAGATCAAGTTTGTTCTTTGAATGAGATGTATGTTTATTTTGTTGAGGGATACAGGTTGTCTGAGGGAAAAGTTAGTGTATTTACACGTGTTAAATGGGAAACAACTTGACTGTACACTTTATGTTGCTTATTGTACAACTATTTGTTGCTGTGTTGGTCATAGTTACTATACAAATTAGATAGCTTTTGGTACAACTTGTTAACGTTGTGTTGGTACATCAGACAATTTAAATGATCTAATGTTTGAACACAAAGAAACAACCTTCAAGGTACAACATTTTGCCAAGTATAAACATGAAGAAAGAGGATAATCACAATTAGTTTTAAAAATGCATATTGTTACATTTTTCTACATAAAATGACCGCAGTCTACTCATGAAGAATTATGATAAATACAACAACATATCCATTGTTATTCCACAAGTGAGCTATGGGAGGTTAGGATGCAAACCTTATCCCTACCTTTGTGGGGGTTTAGAGATGATTTCCTATAGACCCTCGACTCAAAAGAAGAGTTTCTGAAGCAGATCTGCTAGAAAAATATGTCAGCAAAAGAGCAAGAGATGAAGCAGGGAAGCAACAAAGAGTAATATACATTAAAAATAAGAGAACACACGACTACTTAATAATACTACTGAACTGAGGAATACAGAGGAAACATATGTATTTGTTGTCATTCTCCTAAATTAGCAAAAGAGAATCTCAAGAACTATTATGAGAATCCTCAATTACAATCTAAAAATATAAGTATTAGATAACTTTAAGCTCAAGATTACACACTAAGAAGGGAAAGAGGCAATTGAGGAAACTTGCCCAACGAAAAGATTCGGAATACTCATATCTCATAAGTAGGTTGTCAGGTCATTTGAGAATCCTTATTCTAGTATCACACGATCTAGTACAAACCAAGCGCTAACTATGATAGCAAAAGAGAATCTCAAGACCTTTAAGGGACCACATTCCCATCAACTTTTTGAACAAAAGTAAGCAATTTCTTATTTTTTTGAATTAAAAAAAAAGTAGATAAATCACTGACTTTTATATGAAGAACATAGTAATACACATAACTGAAAAAGTTACATTAGTTGAAAATCGAGAAAGCGGATCAACCTTTGTTACAAGGCTACTGCAGTTCTCCCAACTATTGCACTAAGAAAAGCGAATTTTGCACCTCCCAGACCAACATGTGCAATCTGTTAGTGGATGGTCATGAGGACTATGCTACCACTTCTACAAACATATTTCACTTTTTCAACAATGTTAAAAGCACTTGATAATGAAGATTAGATATAAGTTTGTCAAGAAACAACAGAGATGGCTTATGAATTATGTTAATCCCAATTGAGACTCTTCATGTTCTCCCCATCGCACTCCTTTTCTTCCTTCATCTCCTATGTAATGTGTTGGCATGTGCATAGAAATATTCATTTTGCATTATCAAGTTATGAAAATAATAACTTTATTAACTTTGAAACTAATGCTATAACCTATACAACATGCTATATAACTTAATCCTTTGGTTGATAGTAGGACTTTTTGGGGTGTGGGGATTTAAAATGAATAAAATAATGAAAAACTGTAGAAATAGTATTTTTATTCAAAGTATTTTGCTATCACCTGCTTCTCCATCCATTAAGATCTGATACTGGAGTATATTTTTCACAAGTGATAGTTATTAAAAAAACGTCAAAAACATGATATTACTTCAATCGGTTATTCGTACTTTGAGTGTTGTTGTGTGATTCTTCTATGGTCTTATCGTAAAAGACAGTAATATGGATGTAAGCTTTATTTTCAAGCATCATTGTAGATTCCAAATATATTAGGATTCATATTAGGTGTACTGCAACATTTGGAAGATAATACATCTTTACATGAGTATAATGGCTTTACTTGAGTATTTAAAAGTTCATGAACAGATCTTGGCTAATTAAGAACCTGAAAAATGCACACTATAATTGATTTACATGTTTCATTTCAAAATCAACAGAATATAAAAGTTTAGATTCCATCTCTTACAAACATATTATCAAATACATTAGGTGCATTATCCGCCTCAAATTAGTTGCTAATCAACACAAAATACATCAAAAAGACATAATGCATGTGAAAATTAGGAACAACTGCTAACATGCGTATAAAACTTCTAGTAGACATATTGTAATCAAAGGAATTATATCTCTCTAATTTATCATGATGAGGCATCTTCAAGTGATTGCACAATATATATAAAAATATAGTGAAAAATCTACGAAGAAAGAAACATAACAAAATATTGTTAGTGCTATCATGCATATTATCGAATACCTTGAGTGCGTAAAGTGCCATAGCATAGAGAAGTAGTGAAATATGAAATTCATTTGCCAAAACTTCTCCAAATATTAACCCCTGCAAAAGAATTAGATTAGGAACAATACAAAGGCATGGAAAAAGTCTTCTAAAAATAGAGAAATTGAATCCAGAGAAGAAGAAAGCACATGAAAAATTTAACATTCAATCAGGAAAAAAATGTATTGAGATGGAGGAACAATACAAACCCAGGAAAATTACCTTCGAAAGAGGAAGAGATGGAGTGATTGCTTGTAGAAATAAAGAGAAATTTATCAGTTTCTGGAATGATCGAGAGATGGTAATTGAAGGCCAAACACGTGTTATACATAGTGCAAATGGAGTAAACTTAAAATTACATGAGAAGCATTGGGATAAAATAACATATATTTGAGACATATGAATGTAACATTTGGGAAAACAAGAATTACAATGAAAATAATAAAAACAGAATAGTGTAATTTGTTTTCTAGCAAGCACTCTCAAGATAAAAAGCAAATTATTTCAAGATAAGAACCAAATTATCGTTAAATTGAAGGACATGCAGACCTAAATATATATCGAAAGAAGAATGAGAGTAGCCACCATCATAGGCCCTTTGTCAAGAGCTGGACAAATTAGGAAGAGAACGCAATTTTAATTTTAAGCAGGTAACATAAACAGATTCACAATTATATAATGAAAAAATCGAAAATATAAAAAAAGAGTAAAAACTCGTGTTTATTGAAAAATGGACGAAAAGTCCTTTCGTTAGAATAATAATATATACCCATTAAATTTAGATTTAGCAAAATCAAAGGAATTAGTTCAGGTGATAATGTATATATATTTGATTGGACAACTACGTATTACAACAGCTGAAAAAGTAAATGCAATTTTAAAAAATCTGAAAAGGAGAAATAGAAGTTGAGTGAGATAGATGTAGCTGAAAAAAGTAGAGGAAGAAGATGACAGCAAAAGAGTTGAAGAGAAAGCACAATAGCATTATAGAAATTGGGGTTAACTTTGTTTTATTCTTTATACCATCAAGGATTTTGGGCTTATCGGATGCACTTCACTAGCAAGAGGGTCGACTGAACACCAAACTGATCTGATTCAGTTTTCGCATCCTGTTTACATGCGATTTGGCGGGTCAAGTTCTTCATCCCCTTTTTTAACCATCAAAATATGTGACAACACAGATATCGGTAGAAAACAAAGAGGAGAATAACTAAATAAAGCTTTAAATTCAGATACATTTCAGACATTTGTCAGTAAATCAGCAGCTTTATTTGTCACTCTTTAAGAGTTCAGAATAAAATAAAAGTCTTTCATTATTATCTATAGTCATTTTAAAGGTGTTTTAGTTAAGAACAAACTAATATCGCATCATTGGCATTAGCTAATGCATTGTCGAAGCATTTACTTAAACAACCTTTTGGGTAAAGACATAATTGAACCAACAAATAATTTAAATTTTGTGATAAATGCTATCCTAACCCTCGACAATCTAAACAGGAGAAAACTTCAGGTAGTAAACAAATGTTTTATGCGCCTCGATAGTGTGGATGCATGCAAATCATATTTGGACCCATGATATAGCAGGCTGTGAAACTCTTAAGACAACTTTCTTTCAAAATATTCTAAAGGAAGGGAAAACGGGAAAAGACAATGGAAAATGGGAGGAAGATAGGTCATTACCATTATCCTGAGAGCCTAAAAGGGGCTTCATTTCCAGTAGAAAAAAGTCCAACCAAAAAGCAGGATTACTCCCTGCAATTGGAAAACATGAAGCAGAAGAAAAAAATTTAAGAAATATATACAAAAGTCAACAGTTGGAAAACTATTATCGAATCACATTTACTGAAGGTTTAGATAAGAGAATGAAGCTAAACCATTGAGGAATCATCCATTAGTTTAACGTAGTTTGTCTTTCTAGTTAAGCTAAGCTCTCATGTTAAGCCAATTTGTATGACATATACTTGTCGCTATCAGACTACAGATAAGATGAAGCTATTCATAAGAGAGATTGAGAAGCAGATGAAAGGGAAGAGTTACTAAGTTTTGAAATTCCATTGTCTTCCCAATGGAAACTCCTAAAGCTCCTTTAATATGCTCGTCGAAGTTATAGTTGAAACCTCAAGAAGAAAAAAAATTCTACGACAATTAAACCAAGTGGAGTTCGTAGCGCACATATGTGAATCAGTAAAGCGAGAATTGAGATAACCAATTTTGTTATTGTTATTAATGTAAATCATATTTCATTAGAGTAAAGAATCGAGATAACCAATTTCGTTATTCATGTCTATGACATTCACATAAGTAGAAAATCGACACAATCAATTTCATGAACCTCAAGTATCCATATTTGGACCAAAACATAGTAATTGTTAAATCAGTGAGCTTGTAATAAAATTCATTTGATTTTGCAAATTATAAATCTTTATGGGCCAAAATATTCTAAATAAGAAGAAAATGAAGAGGTGCTATCTCAATCCCATCACAATGAAATGGGTAAAACAAAGAAATGATGAAAGAGAAAGAAGAGAAAACAACACACAATCAAACATGCACCCAAGGAAAAGCTGAAACAAATCATTCATCTATTAAAATTGTCAATCATTACCCCCTGAACTTGAAGCTTTTTATACGGTGTACACCTAAACTAAATTCCGTTCTAATTACCCCCTGAACTTATTTATTTCTCCATCACGTACACCTTTTTCGTCCACCTTCTCCTATTGTGACTACACGCGCTCGACAGCTGGCAAAATTGGTGATCTGGATTTCCACCTCGATAAATAATAGCCACCCAGATAAATTAATATTGCAAAAAATAAATTTCTTAAATTTAAAATTCATTGTTTAAAAGTTATTTTTGAATAAGGGCTGATTTCGCGGAACTCCTTCTTGATTTGGGTTTTCCTAGACGTGAAGTTGGTCGATTAAATTTCAAATTTGTCTGAAATTCTTACCAAGTAAGTGTTAATCTGTGTTTCCTTTACTTTTCATTTACATTTTTTCCTATTTTTCTTTTAAAATATGCCAAATATTAAAGAAAAATGGAGATTTTACGTTTTTTACCGTTGTAGCTTTGTGATGTGGCAAAAAATCACTTCCTCACGCGCCTAGTAGAGTGTGTTGTCAATTTCTACGCCAAGTGGACAAAAAAGGTAGTATGCGACGGAGGAATAAACAAAGTTCGGGGGTAAGTTAAAACGAAATTTAGTTTAGGTGTACACCGTATAAAAAGACTTCAAGTTCAGGGGGTAATGAGTACTTTTGCCATTAAAATATAAAGAATGTGAAGAGTTAATATAAATATAAAGAATGTGAAGAGTTAACATTGAATTAAAGCCATAATAAAAGACCATAATCATCTATATAATCAAATATATACAGATCATTTTGATAGGAAAGAAATGAGAGAAAATAAGAAAGAAATGAGAGAAAAAATCATGAATTTTGTGGATTAATGTTGGAGGAGAGAATTTTGTTCTCATTTTTTTCTTAGAGAAATCTTATATATATATATATATATATATACTAGTTTTTCGACACGTGTGTTGCACATGATTACCAATTCAGAAAATATATGTCATAGTAAATAGTATTTGCTTATTTAAGCGGAGATTTGAATAATAAATTTTGCACAAAATAATATTGCAGATTTTTTTATGAATGTTCAATATGAATCATCATATATATCTTTTATTCACGCGAACCTATAAAGATGGTCAATGAAAATTTTTATTAGTTAAATGCATATATTTATTTCAATTTGCTGAGGTTCAATCATGTAATTGGTTGTATCTCAATAATATTACCTTATAGACGATATTTGTTGTGTATTTTTCTTGTCATCTAACCAGATGTATTTGCACGTATATTTCACGCTAAACTATTCAGATGTCATATGAACATGTGAAGAGAACAACTATATTTTATTTTTAGAACTATTTTTTTGTATATTAATTTTTATTTTATAAGTTATAACATAATAAATGATCTTCTTGTTGTTGGCTCTCATATTAACTTCTCAATTGGCTGTATAAATAAATCAAAGTTAGTTATCTGACTGTCCATAATACAAATACATACTCAAATATATATATATATATATATATATATATATATAAAAAATTTAGACTCCATCATGTTAACTTCATATATTGGAACATTACATACTAATGTATATATTATCCAAATTGATGGCCTTTCGGTAGTGCCAATCAAGAAGTTCATCAGTCAACAACTCCGAGAAAAAAAAAACAAGGCAGTTCACTCAAAGATCAAAGATCACTATCAGAAGGGGAGGTAAAGACAACCACATTTTGACAATAATAATGATGGTGTGTTCCTTCACAAACAGTTAAAAAAGAAGAGAAAAAGGTGAAGGTACAAAATGCGACATAGAGACACCGGAGAAATATTGAGCAAACGGAAAGGATAGATACGTTTCCTATAATCCTCATGATAAAATTTCTCCTCTTTTTGCTTAATTCTTCTATTGTTGGTAGAACATTGAAGCATATCATCAAAGGGGACTTAACACTACTACCATGCACTTAGCAAGTTACAAATGAACCACTATTAGCAATTGATTTAATTTTGATATGATAAAATTATTGCAGAAAAGGCAGCACCAGGCTGTCATACAACTAATGGCACAAGTAATACAGTAATATTTCTTTCCACTCACAACTCGACAGTAATCAACATATACTAAGAGCAAAGGCATCACTTACAGCCTTATTCGAACCCACTCAATGACAATAAATCACATGAAATCTTTTAAAATGCAAGAAGAAGAAGAGTAGAAGATTAAAAAAAAGTGTGGTTGAAAAAAATGAGAGGAAGCCCCTCTATTTATAGTCAACAAAGGGCGGTATGAACAAGTATATTTTGTGTCTTATCGGAAAAGTCATGACCTTTTGAGAAGTCACAACCTTTTGAAAAAGTCACAACTTATTAAAAAAGTCACAATATATTGGAAAAGTCACAACTCTTCGAAAAATCACAACCCTTCGAAAAAGTCACAACTTATAAGAAAAGTCACAACTCATCGAAAAAGTCAGAACCTAAGTTAGGAATATTATAGTAATTTAACATTCAAGTTAGGAGTTCATCGCAACTTATCAGAAAAGTCAGAACTCATCAAAAAAAGTCACAACCTAAGTTAGCGATATTATAGTAATTTAACATTCAAGTTAGGAGTTCATGCTTTTAAGGTAATATAGATATAGATATATTGCCAATGTTTTGAATTTATTTCGCTAACTAATTCTTATTTGTTTCTCTACATTTCAGATTTAAATTTGCAGCTGTGTATTCTTCACTTCTCAATCACAGCATCAGGTACTCGTTTTTTGACAATTATTATTTGTCAATTTTTTAAAAAAATTTCGCTAACTAATTCTTATTTGTTTCTCTACAGTTCAGATTTAAATTTGCAATTGCGTATTCATCACTTCTCTATCACAACATCAGGTACTCATTTTCTGTCACGCTCCAAATTTTACAAGTCGTGATGACACCTATGTTCCCAACCGATAGTTAAGTCAACCCAACAATTTTACCAATTTAACTAAATAATGAGGTACAAAGGTAAACAAAAGAAAATATCTCTAACACTAAGTCCTTTATAAATATGAAATGCGGAAAACTAAAATACCACCCAAGACTTGGTGTCATAAGTACAAGAACTTCTAAAATACGGTGCAAGTCTAAAACTAAAATGAAAAGCCTAAACATAAGAGATATCACGTTTAAATACGAAGAAACAAAATAAACCATAAAATAGAGGGAGGTATGGGCTGCGGAACAACCAAGCAACTCACCACAACTCCAAAATACTCCAAGCTCGGACTCAAAAAAAGCTCCACGAGAGGTGCTCGTATTAGGAATCGAATCTGCACCACAAAAGAGTGCAACAACTGTAGTATGAGTATGAAACCACGTGTACCAAATATATCTCATGGACCGACAACAAGAAGTAGTGATGGGAGTTTATGTAAGAAAATCAGTTCTTTATGTATACAAGTCTATATTATACTTACCAGTCAAGTTTTATCAAATAGAGGTAACCAAATAACAAGTACTTTCCAACCACCAATAAAAACACATAATCATCAAATATGAAGGATGTCATGAGATGCAATGCAATATGACACCATGAAATGATATGTCTCAAATATCAAGTACTCTATCAACCGTATATACATGATACTCCTCGTAAATACATCAAGAGTTCATGACCCATGGGGGACTCACGAGGTCCATATACCGATACAAATGATCTCCACGTGTCTGTGCGGACGATCTCAATGCACTATCATATAATCAACAACTTTTACACGGAAGATCTCCACATGCCCAAATTATAATCTCAATATCTCACCATCCCCAGCATGAACGATCTACATGTGCCCAACTCATACTCAATCTCATGCCAATGCATGTGCATAATATGATCAAAGAAAAGGAATGATGATGCATCTCAATCAAATATCAATATGATATGTAATAACCTCAGTTATCACAAATATACGGGTTCAATAAAGAATACAATCACACATAATAAATCAAGTCCCTAACATATCATCTAATGCCCATATGCTCTGACATTCTCGGATTTCAATCCGCATTCTATAGTAATAAACTTTTCCTTTATAACACCGGTACTCGTACCAATGCCAGTCACACCATTAGTACGAGACCCCCATCTTTCTCCCTTACCCATGGACTATTTCATTTTTAATCCTTAATTAGAAAAATGTCCTTCAATGAAGTCTAGGAAGTCTTAACATACCTTGAATGCCGAACACATGTCACGAATCCTCAAAATTTCGCATTTCCCTTTCGTAAAGTTTCAGGATATTCCCAATCTATCAAATATGCAATATTCGTAAGCAAGTGAGTTCATAGACACCCATATTACTATAGGTCTAGCCTAGATCCAAAACTCACCATAATCTATAATTAAATTCATAAATCTTGGTGCCAATTAGATATGTCAAGTCTCATATTCCCAAATTTTATGCCTTGAGGTTAAGTCTTAATTTCTCCAAATAACATAAATTTTATAATATTTACATAATTCAATATACCTAATATTACTCTCAATATATCAAGACTTGAATATTTTATATAATAATAATAAGAGGAATTCTGGAGAAATACTTGACAAATAGCGTATAATTCGAGGAGAACAAAAATTGGCAGAACTTAACTCCATACACCAATTCCTCTATAATTTGATCCCCAACAAATATTTTATGAAGACGATTGCTTCAATCATTTGGCAATGATTAGCCAATGATTGCAAGCAGCTTTGTCCCCCTCCCAAAACCCTTAAACGTTAGCAGCAAAACATTGTCAATTTTCAATCCTTTCCCAACCAAATTAATATACCTATAATATAATTTACATCCAATCAATAAGGAGATTAAAAATTAGTTACTCATTACCTGATCTATGAGTTCGAAGTTTCCCTCTTCCATTCGTCTGCCCAGGTATGTGTATGCGCTCCTCTCTTTTCTTTTCTTTTTTTCTAAATACAATTATTAGGTATAAAAGTGATAAATCCCACTAACGTAATTTAATTATATGATCCAAGTAGTAAAGTGTATTATATAGATTAGAGCAACTTTCACATATAGCAAACAAAAAAAATCATATTTGTATGCTATATCAAAGTTTGCATAATTGCGCTCCATAGCAAACATATGTATGTATAATTAGCTATACATATACAATTGAAAGCTATGTCTATTTCACTATACATATATACAAAAAGAAGCAATTGTATAATTCGTTGGCTC